GAGCAATGTCCATCTCGGCAGGAGCATTCCGCTCCAGTCCCCCCAGCTCTATTAGGCTTTAACCATCCATCCCAAACCTGAATATCGCGTCCGTTCTTGGAAAACCTCCATCGGCATATTCCGCCGACGGATCCTGAACTACATATGGCCTGATTCCTGTAAAACCAGGTATATGTAGGCAGCTCAAGAACCAGAGCACGGTGAAATTCTTCAAACCATTTCGTTCGGTAAAAATTGGTCATCATGTCTTTACCCGACAACTCTTTCATCCTTCCCGGGTAAAGAGGGGCAGCTGTTGATATCTAATTTTTCCCTGTAATATTTTTATATGTGCAAAATACTTTCAAAATAGCATATGTATGCATATATAAGTGTTTCCAAATGTTTTTGTATTTTTCCTAATTTTTAAAAGATTTTAAAATTAATTTATTGCCCTATTTTAGCAATACAAAAACCAATAATTATTCCTCAAATTATCATTTTCCAATGTATATATAAAGATAAACACAAACTAGGTGATATTGAACCGTTGTTGCAAAATTTCAGGTGAGGACATCTGTCGTGACGTACTTTAACAATTTCGTGTTTTAAAATGCTCATTGAGGAATTACATTGCAGGTCTATTGTTACTCGCCTAGAAGTAATAGATCCGCGAAGGTTGAGTCATGCGGAGAAGCTAGCGTTCTGGATTAACATACATAACGCATTAGTGATGCATGTAATGATCCTTCTTGATTAAAACGTCAGCACTATAGTTTCAGAAATCTGTCAAATTCCACATCCACTTTGAGCTGACAATATTCTTTAACCTTTCTTATATAGGCATTTTTGTCCTACGGGGTTCCAAAAAAACACGGAAAGAGAGTTTTTCTACTCTTGAAGGTTAATGCGAAAAACTTATTTTTTTGGTCAAGAGTTGTTTGGTAAGATTTTGTCTTACCTTTTTGCTTAATCCAGGCTGCCTATAATGTTGGCGGTCATGTAGTCAGCGCCAATGTGATACAGAACTCTATCCTAGGATGTCGAATGTCTAGACCAGGACAGGTATACCTCATAAGCTGGTTTCTTGTTACATTATGCATTTTAGCTTAACTTGCATATTCAGCAACTATGCTCTCTACTACACAAAACCTCTAGAAGTAATCGTGTTGGTTCACAAACCAACTTTTTTCAAGACTCTCCTAAAAGCATCTAAGGATCTTTTTGTTTTTTATTGTCAAAATCGTGTCCCTACTCTATTGATATTAAGTGACTGATACTCATGCATAGTATTTTCTGATCCTCGAGTATGTCTCCAAAGTGGATTTCTCCAAGTTGGTACTTGTATTGCTGATAAAGCTTACTCTGGATGCAGTGGCTTCGCTTGTTACTTTCTTCTAGAGGAAAGCTTAAGGTAGGCGATGAAAGGCAAGCCTATGCGATCGAACATCCAGAACCCCTTCTGCACTTTGCACTCTGCTCAGGCAATCATTCAGATCNTTGTTTTGCCAAAAGTTGTGGAGTCCTTTGCTAAGGATTCTGGTCTATGTACTGCTGGTGTGATGGAGATGATCCAGCAATGTTTACCTGAATCTCTTAGAAGAAGCATTAAGAAGATTCAGCAGGAAAAGTCTCGCAAGAACATTGAGTGGATTCCTCATAATTTTGCTTTCCGATATCTGATTATGAAGGAGCTGGTGAAGTGACTACTTTTATTGTGTGTTTAAGCTTGATAACTCTGTGATTATAGAGATTTGATTAGTAGTAAGCCTCTTTGACATCCAAGCAGTAGATTCGACTCTCACTACGGGTAAGTGAAAATCACTCTTTATCCCATATGGAATCAGTGTTGGAAGAGGGGGGAAAAGTTTGTTCTATAAGGGCTCTCTTTTTATTTCTTTTTTCCTTTATTAATAGGAGTTCTTTGAGAGGGGACTCATTTCCTTTTTCTCTCTTCTGTATAAATGCACACAAATTTAGGAGTTGAGACTGGAGAAAACATGCGCTCTCTGTTTTACATATTACCTCCATTTAACATTTGTTGCTGGCTATGTTGGATCAATCAGCTGCATCTTGATCTCGAGGTCGTGTTTACATAAGATCATGAGATTATCTATTGTCTCCAGTCCTATAGGCCAGTCACCTTTTCCCTAAAAAAGAGAAAAGAACTGGAATGGGAGAGGATGGTCATTGAGAATGATGCCTTAATAGGTTGGTCATCTGTCAGAACGAGAGTTTGAGTTCTTATTATGCTGCCCCTGCCCCTCATACTCTTCTTTCCGTGTTTGAGTCGCTCTTCTTATCTGCCGTACCCCTAATCCTCCATATCGGTCACCAGAAGCGAATGGAGTATATAATCAATAAGTTCAACTCATCCTATTTCCATTATTTATTACACTGAGCATAAATCCATCAAGTTTCAATTTCAACGAATTAAGACTAGGTCGCGAACCTATAATTTCGAAAGTTGGTTTAAGTCCATCAAATTTAAAATTTGGATTCATCTCTATTGATCACTCTCCTGCACCTTAATTTCAAACTAGTTAGATCGGCTATATATTTACTAGCAGTATAGAAAAAGAAAAGGAGAAAGGAAAATACCAGCAAACCAACACAATGACAACTTATTATAAATGAAAGCAACAAAACTTGAATTCCACACAAAAGTTACATTATTAAAGATCATGTAATTGCAGACTAATAAGGTTTCTCTCCTATTACATTTCCAGGGGGATTATAAAAACATATGGTAAGAGTAGAAGGTCCGTTAGAACAAGTAGCTTGAGCACAACCCAATTCCAATGATTCCTTCCAAACAACCTGAGTATAAACACCACACTTATGATCTCCTACACATGAATTATTAGCATAGTTGTAAAATTTCTTCTCAGCAACCCAATTATCTACAGCCATACGTGGGGTCACGGCCATACCACTAGCCCATAATTGATTCCCACCATATTTCCCACTGGTTAAATTTGCAAAGTTGCAATTTTGTTTGTTCCTTTGATAACGAACAAGAAGGCTAGTTTCTTTGGCTAGCATGGGACTCCATTTTAGAGGGCCAACACCCACTTCAGCTCTTGCCTTGTTATGTGCATCCAAGAATTCTTGGGCCGCGGCCGGTAGTGCAGCTGGAGTTGTGGCCGCTGTCGGTGGAGGTGGTGGTGCAATTGTCTGTCCTGAGATGTGAGTCAAGAATAAACAAGTGGTTAATAGGAGGAAGAAAAAGTTGGCCATTTTGTCTCTAACTTTCAACTCTGTTTTGTTTTCTTTCTTTTATTCAGAGGTCAACTTGGAAGAGATGGTGAGTTGAGCTATTATATCTTCCTAAGTTCATATAGGGGAATGGTGACAGCTCTATGTATCGGGGTGTGTACATGCTTGCTATTTTCAACGCAGAGTTAGGCTACAGTTGTATTGTGCACTTAGAGGACGATTCGTAATCGTTTACAATCTAATTAGGTGTGGATTATGATGTGGAAATGTGATGCTTATATGATATGCAAAATTCTTAGGTGATAAAATAATCCAGAGATAATTATGCGATAAATAATAGTACTCCGTATAGTAACATATTGTGTTATGTAAGATTGACTAGTTTAAGGGTATTGTTTTTTTGCTATAGATACTTTTATCCGCATAAATGCATGTACTTTTTTTTTAAAAAAATATTCTATTCCGTATAAAATAATATTTAGATTTACGTATAAGTTACACAGGTTAGTAATATATCATTATATTTTCAGTGTTAAACATTGTCTGGCTTATGCAAATTTAATACCAAAAATCAAATGTTATATTAATTAGACAGTGTTTATATTATTTATTTATGCATGACTTCATACCAAAAACAAAATGATGAACAACGTAGGGGCGGACCCAGGAATTTGAGGCAATGAGGGCATCGGTATTCTGCTTAATCAATGCTCCCTAAAGACTTTTAGTGTTAATGGTGCCAAGTAATTTAAATTAACCATTTTCAAGTTATGCATGTATGCATATATAAGATTTTTACTAAAGTTTACGGGGTCCAGTGATCCTCAAGGCTATATATAGGTCCGCTTGTGTGTATAAGTAACATGAAATTTTATATAAGGATTAGACTTTCTTATATGAAACCAAATGACCCCTTATTTAGAGGCGGACGGAATCTATTATTTTATGCGTTCAATTGAATCCAGTATTTTCAATACAACATAAGTATAAATATGCAACAGGTCACCAAAGTTTAATAAATTTTGAATTCATAAAATTTTAAAGCACAATGAATTTTCAATATTAAAAACTTTAAGATTTAACCCATGAAGATTGCTCATTAAAATCATAAATTGGATTCTATATGCTGTCACGATTGCTTTTGATATACTCATCTGTCTTTTTCCTCCATAATTGAAAAAAGGGCAAATCCTGTGCATGTGGGGGGAGAATACTGAATACTGAATAGAGGGGTTCCTGTTGGTTATTGGACTTACGCAAGATTAATGCACGTGAGTGACAACCCGCAGAGTGCTGACTATTTCTGGTCTGTGTGGACACTGAAGAAAAACATAGACGTGTGATATGACATGTTTTTTGTTACTACTTTGATGTGTAGCTGAAGTTATTAACTTAGCCATGTGGTTTGCTCTTATTAACGAATACTACCAAAGCTACTTCCCATTTAATGCAAAATACACTACTCCGTGAAGCGGCAGGTATTCGGCCTACCCTCTCATGATGCAGTAGAATGAAAGAAAGAAAAAATATAATGTCCAAATTTAACTTTGGAGATTTTAAATGTATTAGTTGTAAATTCTAAAATATGACGAGCTATTAGGTTGGGAAATATGATTTACACATTGTGATGATCCGATAGGTCATCTAGAGCTTTAACCCTTAATTCTGTGTTTTGATACCTCAAATAGCTCCTTTTAGCCTTTTTCGATTTGCGTGCATAGTCCGGATCTTGTTCCGGAAGGTTTTTATGTGAAAAATTGATTAAAATATGAATTCGTGCCTTAAAACTCATTTGATGTGACTTCGGTCAACGTTATGAGTAAACGGACTCAGATTCGTATTTTGACCGTCCCGATGGATCCGTATCGGATTTGGAACTTGGCGTATTCCTGAAATCGAATTTGAAGGTCCCTAGCTTGACATATTACAATCTGTTAAAAATTAGAAGTTGAAAGGTTTAAAGAAATTTTAAATTTGACCGATGTTTATTTTGTTGCTACTGGGTCCGGAGCTTGGTATAGGTTCATTACTGTGTTTATAACTTGTCTGCAAAATTTGGTGCAAAACAGAGTTGAATTGACATGATTCGGACGTTCGGTTGTTAAAATTAAAGTTCTTAAGTTTTATTGAAAAATTTCATTCGTTTTGGTGTCTGATTCATAGTTCTAGGTGTTATTTTGGTATTTTGATCGCGCGAGCGAGTTCGTATACTATTATCGTACTTGTGTACATATTTGGTTTGGAGCCCTGAGGGCTCGATTGAGTTTCGGGTAGGCTACGGATGGTTTGAACTTAGAAAATTTATGATTTTTGGAGCTTCTGTTGTCATATGGTGGTTGTGCTTTGCGATCGCGAAGGGAAAAACTGGGGCTGGGGTGGGTTTCTTCATTGCGAACGCGGAGTGTTAGCGGATTTGCCCTTCGCGAATGCGACCAGCTTCTCGCGAACGCGTAGGGGTATGGACCTGGAAGGGGGAACTGGCCGTTACTCTTCCCAAACGCGAGACAAGGATCGCGAACGCAAGGGCAGGTGGGTGTAAGCCTTCGCGAACGCGAAGGGTAACTTGCGAACACGTAGGCCATTTGGGCCGCTGTGCATCGCGAACACGAAGAAGGCCTGACGCCGGTGATTTAAAATTTTTCAATTATGGGATTTCACCCATTTTTCACCTTTCCATTTGGGCCTAGAGGTGATTTTGAAGAGAAAATTTATCACCAATTCATAGGTGAGTATACTATAACTCATTTTCTTCCATTTCTAACATCACCCATTAATTTCTAGCCTTAATCTTTATTCTTCCATGGTAGAAAATTAGAGATTTAGGAAGAATTGAGGGTTTTTACAAATTCGGGATTTAGACTTCATTTTGGGGTCAGATCTTGAAAACAATTATATAATCGGGCTTGAGGATGAATGGCTGTCTTGCAATGTGACCCATGGCCAAAGTATGACATTATATGTTCAGAGTCCCTTAGCCGCAAGTTGGTATGCAAGGATAGGTGAGGCACCGGGTGCCGGTCTCGCCCCCAGGTTCGGGGCGTGACAAAAGAGGTATCAGAGCAGTTCTATCCTAGGGAGTCTAAGCCGTGTCTAGTAGAGTCTTGTTTGTGAGTGTGTTGTGCTACCACACTTATAAGCAGGAGGCTATATGACATTTA